GAGAGAGAGAGAGAGAGAGAGAGAGAGAGAGAGAGAGAGAGAGAGAGAGAGAGAGAGAGAGAGAGTTGAAGCAGCATGATGAAATCAACAGCACACAGCAAAGAAAAACACAACATAACTTCTCTTTTTTTCTACTTAACATTTATAACAATAGCCATCCTTTTCTGTTTCCACCTCCTTTACAACAACAACAACGCATACGTCGTCGAATACGCAAACATCGTGCGCGACCACATTAATCCAAACAACACCACAACCTTCATTCAACCCCGAAAAGGTATCTTTTTTTCTTATTCAATCCCCTATTCTTGAATTCATTTTCCTCTTAAATAATTCAACCGTCGATCTTCACTGCAATTTAATCAGACAGCCAAAAGGCGTGCGAATTATCCGAGGGGCGATGGATTTCAGACCGAAGAGGCTCTTTGTACACAAACTACAGCTGCAGAACAATTCCATTCATGAGAAACTGTTTCCTCCATGGAAGAAAAGACACAGACTTTCTTCATTGGAGATGGAAACCGGACCAATGCGATCTTCCTCGTTTCAGCCCCGATAATTTTCTTACATCTCTTACAGGCAAGACAATGGCTTTCATCGGTGATTCGTTATCCAGGAATCAAATGGAATCGCTTCTCTGTCTCCTCTCAACGGTAATTAATTTAGTTTATCTTTATTTAATTCTTTTAATAATTCTTGAAATGTTCAAACATATATTGGCAATGGAGTTTCCTTTTGACTAAAGAAAGATTTAATTTTTTTTTATACAGTAGGGTTTCCTTAAGTTATGGCTGATTTCCACTTGTCAATATATTAATGATTTAAGCAACCTTGTTTTGGAATCTAATGGAATTAAATTATTAAATTTAATGCTAATTGGTGAATTGAACAGCACAAAGTAAGCACTTACATGAAAGAAAGACAACTTTTTTACTATTGTATCCTTTTGTCTTTCCTCTCAATTATTATTCTCTCCTATTAATTAATTCTTCTATTATTCTTTTTTATTATTAAAAAAAGAAATATACATAATTCAATTAAAAATATGTTCTTGCAGAAAGAAACTCCAATTCAAACAGAAAAAGACCAGGATGACAGATTCGTAACCTGGGAATTTCCGAAGCACAACTTCACGCTAATGGCGCTCTGGTCTCAATTCCTCGTCACCGCCACGGAGCGCCTAGTCAACGGGTCCACCACCGGCGGTTTCAACCTCCACCTGGACA